CTAAAGCTGGTAATACATCAAATATTTACATCGGCTACAGCTGGTAATACAGCGAATGTTGACATCAACTGAAGCTGGTTATATAGCGAATGTTGACATATATAGGCTACAGCTGGAAGTATAGTGAATATTGATATCGCTTATAGCTGGTAATATAGTTATTTTTGACAACGTCTACAGCTGGTTATATAGCGAATGCTGACATTGGCTACAGCTGGTTATATAGCGAATGCTGACAAAGGCTACAGCTGGTTATATAGCGAATGTTGGCATCGGCTACAGCTGGTTATATAGCGAATGTTGACATAGGCTACAGCTGGTTATATAGCGAACGTTGACATCGGCTACAGCTGGTAATAAAGTGAATGTTGGCATCGGCTACAGCTGGTAATATAACGAATGTTGACATAGGCTAGAAATGAATCTTTGACTTATGTTGACAATGGCTACTCCTCGAAACATAGCAAATGTTGGCATTGATTACAGCTGGTTATATAGCGAATGCTGACAAAGGCTACAGCTGGTTATATAGCGAATGCTGACAAATGCTACAGCTGGTTATATAGCGAACGTTGACATCGGCTACAGCTGGTAATAAAGTGAATGTTAGCATCGGCTACAGCTGGTTATATAACGAATGTTGGAATCGGCTACAGCTGGTAATATAACAAATGTTGACATCGGCTACAGGTGGTTATATAACGAATGTTGACATAGGCTACAGCTGGGAATATAACGAATGTTGACATAGGCTACAGCTGGTTATATAACGAATGTTGACAAAGGCTACAGCTGGTTATATAACGAATATTGGCATCGGCTACAGCTGGTAATATAACAAATGTTGACATCGGCTACAGCTGGGTATATAACGAATGTTGACATAGGCTACAGCTGGTTATATAACGAATGTTGACATAGGCTACAGCTGGTAATATAACGAATGTTGACATAGGCTACAGCTGGTAATAAAGTGAATGTTGGCATCGGCTACAGCTGGTAATATAACAAATGTTGGCATCAGCTACAGCTGGTAATAAAGTGAATGTTGACATCGGCTACAGCTGGTTATATAACGAATGTTGACATAGGCTACAGCTGGTAATATAACAAATGTTGGCATCGGCTACAGCTGGTAATAAAGTGAATGTTGACATCGGCTACAGCTGGTTATATAACGAATGTTGGCATCGGCTACAGCTGGTAATATAACAAATGTTGACATCGGCTACAGCTGGTAATAAAGTGAATGTTGGCATCGGCTACAGCTGGTAATAAAGTGAATGTTGACATAGGCTACAGCTGGTAATATAACAAATGTTGACATCGGCTTCAGCTGGTTATATAGCAACATTGATTACAGCTGGTAATATAGAAAACGTTGACATCGGCTACAGCTGGTAATAAAGTGAATGTTGGCATCGGCTACAGCTGGTTATATAACGAATGTTGACATAGGCTTCAGCTGGTAATATAACAAATGTTGACATCGGCTACAGCTGGTAATAAAAGTGAATGTTGGCATCGGCTACAGCTGGTTATATAACGAATGTTGGCATCGGCTACAGCTGGTAATAAAGGGAAGGTTGACATAGGCTACAGCTGGTAATATAACAAATGTTGACATCGGCTACAGCTGGTAATAAAAGTGAATGTTTGCATCGGCTACAGCTGGTAATAAAGTGAATGTTTACACCGGCTATAGCTGGTTATATTACGAATGTTTACAATGGATACAGCTGATTATATTGTTGACATAGATAACAGAAAGTTATAAAGCGAATGCTGACATCGGCGTCTGCAGTTAATATAGCGAATGTTTACATCGGATACAGCTGGTAATATAGCGAATGTTGACACCGGCTTCCGCTGGTTATATAGCCAATGTTTACATCGGCTACAAATGGCCACACAGCGAATGTTGATATGAAATACTGGCGGTAGTATATCAGATTACGACATGGAATATAATCAATCATATACCTGTTGACAAAGGCTACAGCTGGTTATATTACGAATGTTGACAATGGCTACAGCTGGTTATATAACGAATGTTGACAAAGGCTACAGCTGGTTATATTACGAATGTTGACAATGGCTACAGCTGGTTATATAACGAATGTTGGCATCGGCTACAGCTGGTAATAAAGTGAATGTTGTCATCGGCTACAGCTGGTTATATTACGAATGTTTACAATGGGTACAGCTGGTTATATTACGAATGTTGACAATGGCTACAGCTGGTTATATAACGAATGTTGGCATCGGCTACAGCTGGTAATAAAGGGAAGGTTGACATAGGCTACAGCTGGTAATATAACGAATGTTGACATAGGCTACAGCTGGTTATATAACGAATGTTGACATAGGCTACAGCTGGTTATATAGCGAACGTTGACATCGGCTACAGCTGGTTCTATAGGTAATGCTGACATTGGCTACTGCTGGTAATATAGCGAACTTTGACATCGTCTACAGCTGGTAATAAAGTGAATGTTTACATCGGCTACAGATATAGCGAATGCTGACATTGGCTACAGCTGGTTATATAGCGAATGCTGACAAATGCTACAGCTGGTTATATAGCGAACGTTGACATCGGCTACAGCTGGGTCTATAGGTAATGCTGACATTGGCTACTGCTGGTAATATAGCGAACGTTGACATCTGCCACAGCTGGTAATAAAGTGAATGTTTACATCGGCTACAGATATAGCGAATGCTGACATTGGCTACAGCTGGTTATATAGCGAATGCTGACAAATGCTACAGCTGGTTATATAGCGAACGTTGACATCGGCTACAGCTGGGTCTATAGGTAATGCTGACATTGGCTACTGCTGGTAATATAGCGAACTTTGACATCGTCTACAGCTGGTAATAAAGTGAATGTTTACATCGGCTACAGCTGGGTATATTACGAATGTTTACAAAGGCTACAGCTGGTAATATAGCAAATGTTGACATCGGCTACAGCTGGGTATATTACGAATGTTTACAAAGGCTACAGCTGGTAATATAGCAAATGTTGACATCGGCTACAGCTGGGTATATTACGAATGTTTACAAAGGCTACAGCTGGTAATATAGCAAATGTTGACATCGGCTTCAGCTGGGCATATTACGAATGTTTACAATGGCTACAGCTGGTGATATAGCGAATGTTGACATCGGCTTCAGCTGGGTATATTACGAATGTTTACAATGGCTACAGCTGGTAATATAGCGAATGTTGACACCGGCTTCAGCTGGTTATATAGCCAATGTTTACATCGGCTACAAATGGCAACACAGCGAATGTTGATATGAAATACTGGCGGTAGTATATCAGATTACGACATGGAATATAATCAATCATATACCTAATATTGACATGGTTTAACTTAATCTTTTGATTTGTTTCGGGACTAAACTAAATCAGACCTGTTAAAAATTATTTTCTGTATTAATGAACTATTATCGGTTCGACGAATGAGCTAAGATATGTTTGGTGTGTTTCTTGTCGACATAAACTGACTTAATTCCCTAGGTCTGTTTGGGTGCGTTTGGGTGCGTCTCGTTTCGACATGGACTAAATAGATATCTTGACGTTTTTCTTGTTGACATAACTGTGCATGTCGACATGAATTATGTTAGGTGTGTTTCTTGTCAACATGCACGTACCCGATATCTTTGACAAGTTCCATGCTGACATAATTAACTAGGCCTGTTGTACATGTAAGTGTCGACATAATAGGTTAGTTGTGTTTCTTGTCGACATGCATTTACAAGATAGCTTTGACAAGTTTCATTTTGACATAATTAACTAGGCCTGTTGTACATGTAAGTGTCGACATAAACTAAGTTATCAAGATATGAACGTTTAATAACTTTATTTCCGTCACCATAACAATGTTGACAAAATCATCAGATATTGGATAAAAACAACAATTAACATATGTGCAGAAAAAGCACATAAGTATACCTCGTGGTTCTGGATACAAAGTATATCGTGATATCAACTTATATCGGCCTGTCAAATGAAAGTTTATAACAATATGACGATCCACATCGAAACATTAAACAAAAACAACTGTAACTAATTTTGATTAGATATTTACAATGCACTGTAAACATAAGAAATGTACTACTGAACCCGATAAACTTATTAACGTACACAGTGATGGGTTAACATAAATGCATATTTATCGAACAATGCTAATGTTAATATATTTTTTCTCATTTTAACCTTAAATACCACACGCCAATAAGAATGCGACAGGCGATTCTTGCTTTACACTGTGTACGATGTCTCACCGAGGGTAAATACACTGACAGGCGATTCTTACTTTACACTGTGTACGATGTCTCACCGAGGGTAAATACACTGACAGGCGATTGTTACTTTACATTGTGTAAGATGTCTCACTGAGGGTAAATCCACTGACAGGCGATTCTTGCTTTACATGGTGTACGATGTCTCACTGAGGGTAAATAAACTGACAGGCGATTCTTACTTTACATTGTGTAAGATGTCTCACTGAGGGTAAATACACTTACAGGCGATTCTTGCTTTACACTGTGTTCGATGTCTCACCGAGGGTAAATACACTGACAGGCGATTGTTACTTTACATTGTGTAAGATGTCTCACTGAGGGTAAATACACTGAGAGGCGATTCTTACTTTACATTGTGTAAGATGTCTCACTGAGGGATAATACACTGACAGGCGATTCTTGCTTTACACTGAACGATGTCTCACTGAGGGTAAATACACTTACAGGCGATTCTTGCTTTACACTGTGTTCGATGTCTCACCGAGGGTAAATACACTGACAGGCGATTGTTACTTTACATTGTGTAAGATGTCTCACTGAGGGAAAATACACTGACAGGCGATTCTGGCTTTGCTCTGTGTACGATGTCTCACTGAGGGTAAATAACCCGACAGGCGATTCTTGCTTTACACTGTATTGTGTAAGATGTCTCACTGAGGTATAATACACTGACAGGAGATTCTTGCTTTACACTGAACGATGTCTCACTGAGGGGAAATACACTGACAGGCGATTCTTGCTTTACATTGTATTGTGTAAGATGTCTCACTGAGGTATAATACACTGACAGGCGATTCTTGCTTTACACTGAACGATGTCTCACTGAGGGTAAATACACTGACAGGCGATTCTTACTTTACATTGTGTAAGATGTCTCACTGAGGGATAATACACTGACAGGCGATTCTTGCTTTACATGGTGTACGATGTCTCACTGAGGGTAAATACACTGACAGGCGATTCTGGCTTTACACTGTGAACGATGTCTCACTGAGGGTAAATACACTGAGAGGCGATTCTTACTTTACATTGTGTAAGATGTCTCACTGATGGATAATACACTGACAGGCGATTCTTGCTTTACATGGTGTACGATGTCTCACTGAGGGTAAATACACTGACAGGCGATTCTTGCTTTACATTGTGTAAGATGTCTCACTGAGGGATAATACACTGACAGGCGATTCTTACTTTACACTGTGTACGATGTCTCACTGAGGGTAAATATACAACGTATGTTGTCATGCAAATACACTGTATCAAGCTGTTCATACCATAATCATTGTACCGACAAAACTAAAAAGTCAATGCGCGATTTTCCCTTTTCTATAGTAACAGATATAAGACACCAGTTATGTCTGGTCATGTCATACAGTCCAATGATGAGACAAATTCGACGGTTAATAGTGTCACAGAATTACCTGAAAACGTTACTGTGACACTAAGCCTATGGACTGTATCTTGCCCCTGTGCTATATCACTCGTCAACCTATACACGATGTCTTGTCCCTTTGTTATATGACCCTACCATTTATAGGTTGAAAGACTGCGTTAATCAACCCTTTATTTACATTTTCGCTGCAAGTTCTTCTATAAGCATGACAAGAAAACAATGCGTTCATAAAACTATGAACGCAATTTGATCAGCATCATTTTGAAGCTTTCCTCCGCCTCGAATAGCATGAGACAACCGTCAGAAGCAAACATTTCGGTGATTTCAAGTTGTTCAAGGAATCTCGTTTGCACTGACGACACCTCGATATCGAACATTAAGGGAATCGCTCCTTTAAGGTCAATATAAACTCAAAAAAATCAGAATGAAAATATAAGGATTGAATGGCATTTATTTCAAAGTTCATGCCGGTAGCAACGCAAATCGGTTTTTTCATATGTACCCATTTTAACCGATTTGTGTCATACCAGTATCAAATTGAGACAATTTCCGTTCAATCCTCATATATATGCTCCTGTAGACTGTATCTTGTCCCAGTTCTGTCCTTTTGATGTTATCCCTGCGCTAAGCGTTCCTACTTTGTAAAACTGGTACTGTCTGAAGGTCCTAAATGCTTCTCCCATTGGAAGATGATACTTATGTACTAGTACACCGTAAATGTGTAACGTTACAGGATCTGTATGGAATTTGGAATTTTGATCGTACCACGACACTATACTCGTTTTCTGTAGTTTACGAGAGTATAAACAATATATCCATATTATTTTTACGTTCTTATCGTATTTTACTATACTTTCTTCGAGCCGTTGTTGAAAACAGAATTATTTACGACTAGTAAAGATGAGAGCGTCGTCTCAAGTCAAATCGGTATTACTACCCAATGAAAGTTCAGAAGTGGTCTCTTAAAAGATATAATCTCTTGAAAGAGTATTAACATATAAATTGCTACGTGGAGATAAGAAAATATTGGTTCCTATTACAGAGAGGGGGTTACGTCCAAAGGGTGGTCTTTCGAGCAGATTCGTATGGGGCGCCGCTTTACTTAATGTGGGAGAAAACCGGAGTACACGGAGGAAACCTACGCGTGGTCGGGATAACTTGTCACGTCCATTCGGGTAATCGAACCGTGACCGTCTTTGTGAATTGCGAGTGTGCAATCCACTGCGCCACCCGACCGTCAAATAGCTATCTGAGCCCCTGTTGTTATACGAGGAATATTTGCAAATCATGTTTAAATCTGATACTTGGACTGTGCGAGTGGAAATAAAATGCATCTATCGTCCAGGCGCTCGAGTTATAACCTTGGGGTCCAAATGGTAAGACAGTACACCAGCATTTTGCATCGTACACTACCAAATTACCGGTAACAGTACAGAAACTACACCCTACAATGACACCAGGAAATACACGCGTGGTTCTTACCAACGACATTGATTATAACAATAACACAGAAACTGCAATTTTTTAAACATTCGTTATCCGAGTTGTGCGATTAGAATTTGGATACTCAGTATCTTCTAGAGCACACCACATTTGTTCAAAGAAATCTTAACATAAACAGGTCATACCCGACTGATCATAACACACACACAACACTAGCGCCGCCACACTCTAGCCTTCCAAGCTTTTACACGTCGGTTGTTTTTTCACTATGTATATCACGTGATTTTGTTATCACTGACCAGCAGGTCTACGTAGATACCACGTGATAAAAGTGACGCTAGATGACGAGTGCACCTTTACAAAATGTATTACGTGCTTGTCTCTGAGACAGATAACCACAACGGTTTTACAAAATGCATCACGTGCTCTGTCTCTATCTGTCACGTGATGTAAGTGATGTTGGATGAAGACGACGCTTTTACAAAGTGGTGTTTTGAGATACCTGTACAGTTTCTGGCTACGACTAGTCGTAGCTTGTTGCACGCGGTCAAAAGGTCAAGGACGGACTCTGTTATCCGTCGACAACCGGAGATGTCGATCTTTCTGATTGTCTTGTGAATTGACCAATGTGGCGACAGAAGCACCTCCATACCTGCGTTAGAGAGTTTGGTACAGTAACTGAGATCTAGGTTCTCCATCCTCGTCAAATGTTCCGCCATCAAGGCTAGTGATGAATCTGTAATTCCCGTGCCGGCCAAACTCAGCACTTTGAGGCAGTGCAGACGACTGACGTCATGCATGCCGGGTATTCGTTCCGTGGGAGGGGTAATAATGTCCTGGAACCCATCCTCGGTCAGGCCCGCCACCCAGTTCAGATTGAGTGACGATAGTAGGGGACAGGTCAGACAGAGGGCACTGACGGTGGTCCAGGAACATGACGCTAGTGACACATCCTTTAGTTGTGGAATGCGCGCGAGTAACCATGACAATTGCATCTGTGTCATTGTAACAGAATTGAGCTGAAGTGAATAAGGCTGCCTCTTAACGATGCCGATGAGATGAGTCTGCAAAATACGCGTATTGCTGATGTCTATGTATTTCCAAAGTGTGTGGTGTAGGCACCAACGGTACCACATCTTATTGACGGCCATGCACCGAACAAGGTCGGGACCAGACAGATAAGAAAATATCTTCAGCCACATCATCCTTTTTAAGACGTGTTTGCGTCCGGTATTTAGTTCCAAATGATCTGGCGGAGGAGAGGGTGGTGCTGGTCTGACCACGTACCGCTCTAACACAAGTTTAGGCTCCTTCAGATTGAACTGTGTAGGATCAAATGCAGCACCACTTTTTCCAGGCAGAAGTGCAGCACCTCCTTTGCCTGGTTGAGCTGAACTTCTGCCCGTCTGACCGACCGTGACATTTTTGGAATGCTGTCCCAATGATCCGGAGCCTGAAACCCCCGCTGCAGCCTTTACTGATAACTTCTTCCGTTTCACGGTCGGTCCTACTCCAATGTTTTGCCGAGTCGAGGACACAGTTTCTTTCTGACTGGGCGCGTTACCTCCTGCGGCCATTAACAACTTTCTGGGCGACTTTTTCGGACGCCCAACGCCCTCGGGGGTGTCTTGAACCCCCGTCCCCCCGGGAGAGCTATTGTGAGGTCTTTGGCGGAGCTTTCCACCACTACCACCAGGCGACTGACTTGAGTGCCTCGTCTTTGGGGCATGTTTTGGCGATCCGGTAGGTGTAGACAGACCCTGCAAGAACAAGAACCACGTTGAGTGCCCAGTCTCTTGTACAATTAACCTTTTAGAAAATGTATTGAATGCTAGAACGATCAATGAAATAACTTTTCTCTACAGAACATCTTTATTAATTGTGAACATGTTCTAGATATAATTAAAAAAATATATGGACGCGTATTTGTTCACACAAGTTAGCATCGGTAAACGAGTAAACACCCTCCCCACCTCATAAACTATTACAAAATATTTCCAATGGTGACTGCCGCTATTGTCTCCTTTCACATATAATACGTTATTTAAACCCAATCTTATTAAATGAGTTTGTCTAAATTGCAGACGTTTGCATCTTTATCGAATAGGAATGGAATGAAAAAAAATTCTCACACGCAAACAGTTACAATGAGCATGTTTCAATAAGTGTAGGTTGCCAAAGAAACAGATAGGTATAGCTACAGTTTTCTGTCTACACTGTAAAATCTGCATCCTATATCTCTATTGATTTTTTTCTTGTTTCATTAACTTATGCTGGTAGCAAATAATCGAATTTTGTGGTTCAACCAAATAATTTATACACTGGATTTGTTTTAGTTTTCTGCACCGCTCTTGATTTCTTACCAGGGCCTGTCTACGTATCCTATCGAGAAAACGATTTCTGCAATTCAAACATTGTATTATCGAAATGTCATTACAAGCAAAACAGGAGTCAATAAATGAAAGCATCACACTTGTGTGCAGAAAGAAAATGCATGAAAGATAACATTTGTACCATTTTAAAACTCAAATGTTTATTAAAACTTGATTACAGTAACAAGCTGCCAACAACTGAAATGTTGATTAAAGGGTGACAACAGCGATAAGCTGCCGTCCGTTACCTGATAGTGTGGTGGGCAGTGTAGTGGACAGGTATCCCACTACACGTCAATAACCAGCTACTACACGTCAATAACTGGTTACTACACGTCAATAACTAGTTACTACACGTCAATAACTAGTTACTGCACGTCAATAACTAGTTATTACACGGCAATACCTAGTTACTACACGTCAATAACTAGTAACTACACGTCAATAACTAGTTATTACACGGCAATACCTAGTTACTACACGTCAATACCTAGTTACTACCCGTCAATAACTAGTTATTACACGTCAATACCTAGTCACTACACGTCAATACCTAGTTACTACCCGTCAATAACTAGTTATTACACGTCACTACCTAGTTACTACACGTCAATACCTAGTTACTACAAGTCAATAACTAGTTATTACACGTCAATAAGTAGTTACTACACGTCAATAACCAGCTACTACGCGTCAATAACTAGTTACTACACGTCAATACCTAGTTACTACCCGTCAATAACTAGTTATTACACGTCAATACCTAGTTACTAAACGTCAATAACTAGTTATTACACGTCAATAACTAGTTACTATACGTCAATAACTAGTTACTACACGTCAATAACTAGTTACTACACGTCAATAACCAGCTACTACACGTCAATAACCAGCTACTACACAGAACTTTCTCACACACTTGGTCATCCCCTTGGTTACTACACAAACCTCTCTCACACCCTTGGTTACTACATCGACTTTTCTCACACCCTTGGGTACTACATCGACTTTTTTACACACCCTTGGTTACTACATAGACCTTTCTTACACCACTGGTTACTTCAAATGCCTTTGCATACCCTTGGTTATTACATAGATTTTCTTATACACTTATCTCACACATTGGCAACTACTACACAGATTTTTTCATTCCTTTAATTACGTTAGAGATTTTTTTTACATCGATTTTTCTCACACCCTTGGTTACTTTACAGACCTTTCTAACACCCTTAGTTACTACATCGACTTTTCTCACAACCCTGTTCACTACATTTACCTTTCTTACACCACTGGTTACTACCTCAGCCTTTCTCACACCCTTAGTTACTACATCAACCTTTCTAACTCCCTTAGTTACTACATCAACCTTTCTCACACCCTTTGTAACTATATCAACCTTTCTCACACCCTTTGTTACTATATCAACCTTTCTCACACCCTTTGTTACTACATCAACTTTTATCACACCTTGGTTACTACATCAACCTTTCTCACACCCTTGCTTACTACATCAACCTTTCTCATGCCCTTGGTTACTACATCAACCTTTCTCAAACCCTTGGTTACTACCTCAGCCTTTCTCACATCCTTGGTTAGTACATCAACTTTTATCACACCTTGGTAATTACATCAACCTTTCTCACACCCTTGGTTACTACATCAACCTTTCTCACACCCATGGCTATTACATCAACCTTTCTCACATCCTTGGTTACTACATCAACTTTTATCACACCTTGGTTATTACATCAACCTTTTTCACACCCTTGGTTACTACATCAACCTTTCTCACACCCTTGGTTACTACATCAACCTTTCTCACACCCTTGGTTACTACATAGACAAGCTTACTTACAGATATTTATAACATTCACAAATGTTTGCATTAAGAAGCAAATTATGTGAAAAATGCAGCATGATGTAAGGAACATGATATAGCACCAATAAAATACAAGTAAGGCAATTACACATTTACACTCCCTTTAAAGCTCTTCATTCTATTTGTAGCAATAACTTGGATTTTTACTTCGGATTTTATGAACAGTACTGAAGTATTTACATAATAAAAAATGATGCTTTAAAAAACAGAATCCATATATATATACTGGAAAGATTTCTCTCAGTCAAATTTGGCCATATGCCAGTAAAATACATATTCACCCATTGTTCATTTTGCCTTTTTACATAAGTTGACGATATGTATTATATTGTAACTTGTTTGCTATATTGATAATTTTGCCCTCATTACCGAGGGTTAAAAAGGCAAAAATTAAACTGTGAAAATGTCCTAGTATACATTTCAGTTCATATACAATCAAATACATCTTGAGCAAAGACCATCCATCAGTCATGAAGGGTGTAATGTGGTAAATAGCTGTGTACATCAGTTGTCCTTCACCAGTAACTGTCACAAGGTAGATAACTCTGTATACATCAGTTGTCCTTCACCAGTAACTGTCACAAGTTAGATAACTCTGTGTACATCAGTTGTCTTTTACCAGTTTTGTTATTACAAGGTAAACAAGGTGAGAGCCATTGAGCTATTGGAAGGGCAGTGTGACTGCTACTGAACAGGACAACTTCCTGTCTATGGGCAAAAAAGTCTGAGAGCAACGAAACAGGAAGACTCTCTCTGGGAATGGGAATCAGACAGCTACTAGCTCTATAGACTAGGTGACATCCTATGTATGAGAAGGGAAGTCAAACAGCAACTATGCAGTTCTTGTCTATGGAGAGTGAAGTTGAACAGCAGCATAGGTTAATTCTCTATCTATGGGATAATTTGTTGTGATTTCACAACAAAATCTACATTTATATACAAAATGTTAACAGATCATAAATTAATATTACAAGTTTATTTACACTGTATTGAGGTAGGCATCTGTACAAGGGAACTTAATCATTCACAGTCTAGTCTTTTTCAGCCATTTTCATGTTTTAATATACTAACAATACATTCCAGATATGAGTTTGGACACCACAGTGGACAAATCTCCACTGTATACAAAATGGATAATACTCACAAGGCCATGTGTTTTTCTCCACAAAAATGGTATTGTCTTCCATGTCATTAAAATAACAAAAACACCTTCAAATTTATCTCCAATCACCCGACATACTTTGTATTCTCATTTGGAGGGATATATGGATATGTTACAGTTATTTATTGATATGACAATTAAAATGTTACACATTATAGCGGGGTGATACCTGCTGGTGGCTGATCCAGTGATTGAAGATTCACCTCGGATTTGAAGAACAAATTATCAATTTACTATCCAAATCAATGAACACTATCAAACTGCATTCTGTACAATGATGTATATTAAGTTCTACATTTCTGATTGGGATTACAGACAAATCCTGACACACTGACATATATAACATGTGTTAATCAATTTGTTTGCCATCCTGTGTCGAGTTATAGAACTACAGTGCTACACAGATAGTAGTTTTAAGCTTGAGATAAATAGCCCTATTTGAATTTCACAGTCTTGTTTATCCTGTGTCATTATATATTAAAACATCATTCTACAGGTTTCTGCTTGTTGAACACTTTAGTAAGATGATGTGTGTCATAACACATAGTAAAGTAACATATGTCCCTAAAAAAGGCACTTTGTTTAAAAACCATGAAATAAAATTACTTAGTCCCAACATAAAACTTGATTGTACATAGTGATTCATCCACATATCAACATTAAATGAAGTTTATTAACAAACAAAGACTAAAATTAATAAGAAACAACTGTTAAAAGAGAAAATATTAAAACATTCATAAAACGATGCATGACATATTTTTCGAAATACCAGCAGTGTTGTTTGAAAAAGGTTCATAACATTCACAATCAGTCATTGTAGCAAGGCTAAAAATTAAATTAAAAAAACTTATACGTGATTGGTTCTCCTTTAGGCTTTGCAGGAAAAACTGAAGTGTCAGCAGAATTCATGGGGTAGTCTAAATCAACTGCAAATATAATTATACAACTCACAACTGTATAACCATTTATACCATGAATAAAACACAGATTTACCCCTTGCTTGTACTACACACTGATAGAGTAAACAATATACAAAGGCTGGTCATTTCTTCACATAACTCACTAGACTTGGAGTGATTCCTTCTCCCAACAAATATACAAGGCATGGCATAGTGAGCAATCCATAGTGTTCCCGACAAACTTTGGTATAAAATACAGAGAGACACAAGGCCTGATTTAAGTCCACAACACTGACTATATATACTAAGGGATACTTACATAGTTAACCGACATACATAAACACCAGTTAACTGACATACATAAAACACCAGTTAACCGACATCCATAAAACACCAGTTTACCGACATACATAAAAAACCAGTTAACCGACATACATAAACCCCAGTTAACTCAGACACACATAAAACACCAGTGAACTCAGACATACATAAAACACTAGTTAACTGACATACTCAAAACACCAGTTAACTCAGACATACATAAAACCCCAGTTAACTCAGACACACATAAAACACCAGTAAACTGACATACATAAAAAACCAGTTAACTGACATACATAAAACACCAGTTAACTGACATACATAAAACACCAGTTAACTGACATACTTAAGACACCAGTTAACCGACATACATAAAACACCAGTTAACTGACATACTTAAATCACCAGTTAACCTACATACTTAAAGCACAAGTCAACGGACATACATAAAACAACAGTGAACAGACATACATAAAACCCCAGTTAACTGAAATTCATAAAACACCAGTTGACCGACATACATAAAATACCAGTTAACCGACATGCATAAAACACCAGTTATCCGACATACATAAAAAACCAGTTAACCGACATACATAAAACACCAGTTAACTGACATACTTAAAACACCAGTTAACCTACATACTTAAAACACAAGTCAACGGACATACATAAAACACAAGTCAACGGACATACATAATACACAAGTCAACGGACATACATAATACACAAGTTAACTGACATACATAATACACCAGTTAACAGAGATAATTAAAATACTAATAAACTGAATATCCTAACATTTACTCTTCTCATAATAAAAAAATATAGGATTTGGTAAAGGCAATGTAAGACTGGCATAGATAAGTGATGCACACATACAACCGGTATGTTACAATAAATTATACAGGCAACAACATGTCTCAGTAGACACAAGTATTGTACAATCATTTAGATAAAAAAAAGAGGAATTTCTGGTCTTATCATAATACTATGAAATCTTACAACTAAGACCAACAACTCTGTGTCCATGATCATTTGGAATTGTTTCTCTCCCTGTGTAAGATTATAAGACTCCTTCATGCACAGCGGTGTATAATAGGGAAATTCCACCCAGAGGTTGGAAATTCACTATCCTACACCCTTGGGCATGAAAGAATATTTTCTCTCGTTCCAACCACCAGAATAAGCGCAGAAACCATGAAAATGTGTTTGGATTGGCCACCATTTTGTAAATATCAATTTTCCCCCTGAGCTTTTAGATGAAAACGAATAAGCCAGCCAGATTTAGCCTATCACATATTTGCAAACAATGCATAAAAATTAATCTCATCTTTCTAACGTGTATGGTAAATATATTGTAAAAGGTTTTGATTTCAGCACCTTGCTTTTCTGCATTGCAGCATTGGTGTTTTCCAAATTCGTGATGTCACGTCATTGTTGAGCCATTATGTCGTCACGTCACGTGAAATGGGGTGTTAGATAGAAATTTCCTACACCCCTTTCTTACCCTGGTAAGCTCTATCTTACGCACAGGGAAATGAGAGAAATATTATACCTTCTAGATGTAAAATATTAAGGTTGTAATTGCTACCATACATATCATACATTACAGCATTGTGACTTGTTTTATTAAGAGTTATCTCCCTTCTAAAAAAACTTAATCATCATCTTATACAGAATGACAAGAAATGTATTACCACAAACATTGTATGTACACATATCAAATCTGTTATCTGTAAAAAATTATCAAATTTTGATTGACCATTTATGAAAGTTATTTTAGTGTTAAAAAGGAACTCTTTTGGAACACTGGCGTGTATCACAGTATGGTAGCATACAGCCTTAACAGAGGAGGCAACAGAACACTGGCGTGTATCACAGTATGGTAGTATACAGCCTTAACAGAGGAGGCAACAGAACAATAAATGAAATTAAAAAGACCATACTCGTCTGACACTAAACATTGAGGTGAGGGAAACAGGACTTGTAACTAATCCAAATATCGGCGTGGGATAACTACCTCACGTCGGGCACGTTTCCTGGGCATGTCTGACGACATGTTTTCGTCTGTGAGCTGGGGAGACTTCTTCACTGTCCTGCCTGAGCGAGTTATCACAGGATTTCCTACTAACTGTTCCCGGGGGCTTAGGCTGTCAATCAACTGGTCTCGCTTCTAATACACAAAACAAATATCAACATTCAAAATACTTTGTAACTGCCAGGTTTCAATTTTGATACGAAAGACTAAAGAAAATTATACACAAGTATCTAATAGCTGAAGAGTATGATAAAGGTCGATGTTCTCAATATTACTGACATGTACATTTGTATGAAATGGATAAAATTGATGAGAATTTATAAATACAATTAAAAAAGAATCACTTAATAAAATCAGTCAATTGGTTGAAAAACTATTTTTAACTGTATTGATATGAAATTGAAACCGTGATGATAAGCTCCAGGTACAAATTTGCAGGCTTACATGCTATGAAAATTTTCAATTGTACAGAATTACTGCTTATTTTAAAGTAATATTATTTAACTGTTCTGAACCTTAATTTCATAAGTGCCACTTTCTCTAACAAGGAAGCAAAAGACATATTTTGCTTTAACATTCGAAACTTGATAACCATACCTTAAACATTTTACACTGTACATGTGTCAGAGTTATCTCCCCTAACATTGATTTATACCCAACAATCACACTTACTGCAGCCAAATTTTTTCAAGTAGAACTTTAAAACTTTAAATCATGAGTAATTATTGAAAACATTAAATATTGCTTACCCTTTTGATTGGAGATTTTTTCAGCTTGAGCTGACCAGGAGATTTAAGTTTACCAGTAGGTTTAAGCTGTACAGGAGATTTCCGCTTCGTCATAATGGAGTGAAGAGGTCGTCGTTGTGAGATTTGTTGACCTGACAATCGTCTCAGTTTCACTTTCTTTAAAGGACCACGGCCCTTTTTCAAATTTCCCTGAGATACAGAATTTTTCATTGTCTTTTTTCTCTTCACATCCTCGAAATGATCTCCCTCTGGTGTGACCTCTTCTTCTTCTGTTTCCATTGTGTCTTTTGTCATCTGCATGTCTTCATGCTACAGAAAAATTATATTGTATTTCTAGAAACACATCAAAACCACTCAACAAGCCAAAGAAAACAATAAATAACAAAATGTGTCTACCAACACATCACCGATCAGGGGCTTAGCTAGCCCTTGTTCCGGGTGGATTGAGTTAGGAGCATGTCCAGGGCAGGGTCTTGGTACAGGGAAGAGGGATGCAGTGTTTTTGCTTTGTTTTGTTCTTCTGTTTAAAAATTGGTGGATTCACCTGGGTACTAACATATAGGCAGCGCCGCTATAATACCCTCGTACACATACAACAAACCAACAATATAGATAGTGTCACTCTACCATTTCAGCAAATTCTTAAATACCCTGAGAAATCAATCTGTGTTTGTACCAAAGTAAATGTGTTTGTCAAGTAATTGTACCTTATGATCTATGTAGTCAGCCAGAGGAGACAGGGTCTGACGAGATGTTACCCTCTTGCCCTCAGACGAATCCTCATCCTCTGTCTTTATCATGTGGTTGATGTCCATCCCAGGCGAGTCACATGACAATGATGCTTCCCCTCCCTTACCTGTCTTCCCCACACCTTTGAAAATTCTTGGCTGAAAATTCAACACTCTTGAATTAGTGCATGTACCATAGTAAGAATTCAAATATCTCGATATCAAATTTTGGCTTTAATAAATATTTCATTTCAGTCTCAATATGATATTTTCACTTTTTTATTGACAGTTTTTGATAAATCAAACAAGAGACCAATGGATCTCAATCACCAGCTTCTTTTTCAAACATATCTGACACCTGTAACCTTGAAAGTGGGTGAAGGTGATTTCCATTTGACCATATTTAAAAGCATGCTAATCCAACGAAACACTGTCCACAGCAGTTGCTGAACTATTTTAATACACTTGACTCCTGTGACCTTGAAAGTTGCTCAAGGTAACTTATTTCAAGCCAAAATATCATGATTGTAGGTCTCATCATTTTGACACACACCTAGCAAACAAGTTATCATCACATAAACCCCTAGACACTTTCTCCTTAGTGAGCTAAAAGGAGATCAAATTTTCAGAATTAGTTTTTACAATCTGTGTTTACCTTGAGCTGTCCTTGCTTGCCGTCGTGACAACACTTGGGGCACTCCCAGCTGTTAGGCAGGTCCTCATTCACCTTGCCATTGTTGTCCAGGTTCTCGTACTTCTGTCTGATACAAGGAGGGTGAACAATCTCCCAACATATTCCACACTCCATTAGCGTCGTGGTCGTCTCATCTGAACCCTCCGACTCCTTTATACGGTCATCTTTCCCACAGATCATACATACAGCCGCATGTGGTATCACAGGCTAAAACACAAATATACAATCTAATATTTTCTCTCCGTATAGTACCTGAAGTGAGGGGTACGAGTCCTTCACAACCTTTGGTTATATTTTTATACTAAAATCAATATTATACAATGGCAGGTAAATATGTATACAGTCATGTCTCCCTCCATAGCAATATTCCTACTTTTAATAAGTATTGAAACAAAATTATTTAAAAATAAATCTGATGTCCTGATTGAGTTTTTAACAACTAGTGGCCTTATTATCATTGAACCAAGGTGATACCCTTGCTTTTCTTTTTACACTGTAATGGTAACATCCTTGTTTTAATGCTTACTATTAAAGGAAAATGTCCATTTTGAGGTTTGAACTTTTTGCTTTTGTTTCCTGTTTAAGGGTGACTTAAAAAATCTCCTACTTTAAGGGTTTGACAGAAAAATCTCATACCAGAGGGGTTAATTTTTGTTTGTCTAACCTGAGGCAATTCTGATGGTTAGTCTCTGGGGAGGGTAAAACAAACCTAATATCACCCCAAAGTTTGGAGATTTCTCTGTTACAACTTTAAGGGGATAATTATTTTTATTCTGTCCCATTAGTTCAATCACAACTCTACTGACAGTAGTACGACTTGTCAGATTTATAATGGACCCCTCGCGTCAAAAGCATAACTTATTGGCTCCTTTTTTCATTGTCTTGCTTCAGTTAACATGCTAGACAGTAAGTCACACTCTAGGCATTGACAGAGAAATCTGGTAAACTGGTAAACAGGTAAAACTGGAGACAATTCAGTGAAAGATGAAGGAAGCCTTGTCGTCATGGTAACCATTTGAGGATGACATTCAGTTAGCAGGTAACACTTACTGCCAGACACTGCCTGCTTATACACGACTGTTTCATCCTGCCTGGTCCTCCATACTTCTTCATGTCCTTACAGAAGTTACACTCCCCACAGTCGTTCCTGGTGCACGGCTCACACTTCTTACACCGTGTTCTGCGCCGACGGACACCAGATGATGGACTGCCCTTCCCTGCTGACTTCTTTGGACCAGACAGCTTCATCTTTGGTTTCATTTTCTGAGGATATAAAATTGATTACACACTACAGCTTTTGGGGAATAAAATGATAAATAATTTTGAAGATCAAATTTAAAAAAAACCCAGGTATAATGGTTTAGACACCGTTTGATTTTTCGAGTTTTCAGAGAATTACAATGGTTAAGTCACTTCGACATTTACAAGTTTCTGAGTGATAAAACTAAAATGGCTTGGACACATTTTTAGATTTCTAGTTCAGAGAAAAAATATGGTTAAGACTTTTCAAGTTGAAGTTAATAAAATGTCCACTTTCGGAAAAAACAATGGTTCAGACATTACAAGATTAAGATTTCCTATTTTTGAGGAATAACAATGGCTTTTACACATTTTCTGAAGAAGCACGCCTTCAGATGGCTTTGATTTCCAACTTCAGTTTTTCTTTGTGGTAAGGTGAACTCTTTGAAATTAGCACTTTGTTCTGTATTAGTATTTTAAGATAAAAGTGTAAATAAAATTGAAAGGAAGGAGAGGCAACCTGCTTTAAAATAACTTAGCTGAATTCAAGAAAAACAAGATGGTTTACTCAGACTTGGCAGTCTCATGGAAACATGAATTCTGTTATAGACGACACTAGATGTTTTACCTTTTTAGAGGGAGGCCAGAACAGTACAGGATCACCCGTAACAGCCAGAGCTGGGTTGTCTCCAGCATGGTCCATCAGAAGTTGCTATGAAATAAATCACATACTAGTAAGTCAAACAGATTAAACAATGACACTGAAATGTACATATACAAATGTATACAACATTAAAAAGAAAAAGAAAAAAAATGTTTTTGAATGAGGTCACTTTACCTTAGCTTCTTCAAGCAGAGATTCCGGCTCCAATAGCTCCTTAGGAACACCCTTTTTGGTTGGTGCTAATCCTTCCAGCCATTCCACCAATGTCCGCAGTCCCTGTAGCTCCCACTTGGTGAGATGTATCCACTTCTGTGACTTGGAGCCACTTGTACTTGTAACTTCACTCACATCAGCACTGGCCACCTCCATCTTACTCACACCACTAAAAACAGGTTTGTCTACCTTCTTGTCCTTCTCAGCTTCAACATCATTAACATTATCCACAACCATTTCATCAGGTCTTTCGTATATTTCTGTATCTGCAGAACTACAGCTGTCAGAAGAAGATTTCCTCGGTGATCGTCGTCGACCAGGTGTGCTACACTCGTCGTCACTCGGTGAGCGTTTAATTGGTGATTGGTCAATTCGTGTCAATTCTATGGTAACACTCTTGGCCATTTTAGGAGTGCCTGGCGCTATGACATCCTTCAGGTCCACAGGTTTGATATCGATACCCCCATTTTCCTGAGAACACCTCGACGGTGGACGTGAATCGTCATCATTAGAGAAGGTTTCCATGGTGATGTCATCAGCCTCTTTCTCCTCGGGAAGTTTCCGTAGGTTCAGAAATTCCTTTCCAGAGACACACTTGATATACTGGGCTAGAACGTACCAGGCTATCTCAGCGTAGAAAGGGTAGCGGAACTTCTGTCGCACCTGTGAGAACATTCAACAAACACATGTCTATCAGTTCAATACTATTATTATTCAAAATTAGTAATGATATTCATTTCAATTACTTTTCAATTCCATGGTGAAAGATGTCTTTTCTTGCAGTTTTTGCTGTAATACAGGGGTTGATTTAATGAGGTCAGTTACTCTCCCTACTTTGTATCTGCCTTGTAATAACAAGAGTACAGACTTGTAATGCTAAAGACAATGAGATGTCCATTGACCTGAACAGCTCACTTGCCTCTTACCTACTGTACACAGGGAAATTGCTGCAGTTTCACTTAAAATATGTCATTCAATTATTCACATTCAGTAGTTTTGATTCATGTTAAATTTCATCCTGTTGCTCTATTTGCCCCTAGTTGGTAGCACCTGTTTGCTCCCAGGGAGGCAGCACACTCTACAGCTACACCAAATATAATCTAGTTGGCCCAGGAACGCTTCATATCAGATTTTGTCAAAAGTTATTATGGATAAGTAATCTTCTGAAGGAAATATTGAGGGATAGATGATGGATGCTAGGCCTGGCATAAGCTCCATTGGCATTCTACTAGATGAGCTAATAACAGCTGCCATGAAGACAGTGGGTACCAGCTCTCTATTGTCTGAAATTGAAATGACTTACATGGGTCTTATCCTCCACCTCAGACACCCTCAGCTGGTTCACGATGTTGTAGCTATGGAGAAAATTACCTCCAAACACTAGAGAGTCTTTAGGTGTGTATACAGCATGAATCCAACCTGTTAAATGAATAATTTATTACAAATTTAAAATTGTTACGCAGGGAATATTCATAATTATATTAAAATATTGCTGTTTGGGCAGGGAGTGTTTTACTCCATATTTAGAAGAAAAACAAATCTCTTTTTTACAAATTGATCCCACAAGGTCACCTTCAATTAGTGAGGTTGTAACTCTCATCAAATATTACAACTATACCTGATGGTATGATAAAGGTGTAGCCCTCGTTGAGTTCTATTCTCTCACAGCCTTCTACATGATCAGCCAAAAAGAAGTCCCCCTGTTTCCCTGACAACGTCCAGGTAATATAGCTGTCAATGTTCTTCTCTGTGGGGGGTATCAGCCAGAACACCTGTAATTTGTTAACATACAAAACACTGAAAAATATATCAAATATTTGGTTAAATGTCAAAAATAAAGGAAAATTACGTTTAAATTACAAGTAAGAGATTAATGCTGTCAATGGAAGGAAACATGTGAACTTTAACCTCCAACCACTACTCTTGGAATCTAATATTTCATCACTTCCATGTTTGGGAAGGAAATGATATTCAACTTGTTAAGTCATGTTTATATATATTTATGGATATTGGTGACTTCCTTTGGCTAGTTTTAAAGCCAAAGACGGTATATTTTCCAAAATTAGGATTATTTTCCCCACATTTTCAATACAGGTAATGGTATATTTTCCCCGATTCATGAAGTAACAGGCTGTAAAAAAAATAAGTAAGAAAAACACATAGAAACATTTTTATGTGTCACAAAAAAATAAATACACTTAACACAGTACTGAGTGGAGTAATTAAGGTTGTTAACCTAGGATGGTGCTCACCTTCTGGCCGTGTAGGATGTGATACCACACTGAGGTACCACCAAAGTCAATGTGGAAGTCCGTAAAACAGCCCTTCACACTCATCAGGCAGTACCTTCACGTACAAACAAAATGGTCGTTTTAACAGTGCTAAATCATAAAGGTCTCAAAACTCTTCATTTCAACACCAAGTAATCACCAGGACTTTGTAGACAATAAAATGTGTCTGGTTTGAAAGTGGGTTATCTCCCTTAAACTGTAACAGTTACCACTAGGACCTATTTTTTGCAGGTTGAAGGTTTGAGATGTCTCACAACTTCCAATTCATATAATTTTAGAGATTTTCTATTTTTGAGTGTTTGAGAAGGGTGGCTACACTCTTTGATCATGATGTCAACAATAAATGTACAGAGACTTTACACCATACAGACACTGTACACCATATAGAGACTTTACACCATACAGAGACTTTATACCATACAGAGACTTTACACCATACAGAGACTGTACACCATACAGAGACTTTCCACCATACAGAGACTGTTCTCCACACAGATACTGTACACCATACAGAGCCTTTACACCATACAGAGAGTTTACATCATAGAGACTTTACATCATATAGACTTTACATCATACAGAGACTTTAGACCATACAGAGACTTAACACCATACATAGACTGTACACTATACAGAGACTTTACACCATACAGAGACTTTACACCATACAGAGACTTAACACCATACAGAGACTGTACACTATACAGAGACTTTACACCATACAGAGACTTTACACCATACAGAGACTGTACACTATACAGAGACTTTACACCATACAGAGACTTTACATCATAGAGACTTTACATCATACAGAGACTTTACACCATACAGAGACTTTACACCATACAGAGGCTGTACACCATACAGAGACTTTACACCATACAGATACTTTACACCATACAGAGACTTTACACAATACAGAGACTTTACACCATACAGAGACCGTACACCATACAGAGACTTTACACTATACAGAGGCTGTACACCATACAGAGATTTTACACCATACAGAGACTTTACAACATACAGAGACTTTACACCATACAGAGACTTTACACAATACAGAGACTGTACACCATACAGAGATTTTACACCATACAGAGACTTAACAACATACAGAGACTTTACACCATACAGAGACTTTACACCATACAGAGACTTTACACCATCAGAACTCACTTCTGTACTTTTGGATACTTCATCTTGTCTATGATGTTGGTGGACTCGGTCTGACATTCCTTCAGGTACTGTGGCCATACAGTGTCCACCCAGTCTACCTGTCGTACCTGTAACAGATAATCACTCCAGGTACACTACTGAAGTACAGGTAATATCCTGGAAACAATTCGCATAAACTGCAGGTAATATCTTGGATATAATTCTCATAAACTACAGGTAATATATGATACTACAGATCTGAAATATCTCAGATCTAGTCCTTGCACATTACAGGTAACATTCTAGGTTAACTTCTAATAAAGCACAGATTATATCATAGGTGCAGCCTCACAAAATACAGGTTATGGTCCAAACAACTTTCTCTCAAAGAAAATGAGTTTTTAATGTATACTTATATAAGTTTGACCCTTCAGAGGTCAAAGTTGAATGGAACAGTTGTATCTATTTTTAAGCCCACACCCTGGGTTCCTCCCTATGGACTTTTCTATGTATAACAATGTGCAAATATAACTGTGTCCTAGAACCTAGGTTACATACCAGTGTTGGAGACTCGACATAGTTCTCTAATTTTGTGTGGCTAAATTCCAGACTAATAACATTCAGGAGCCGTTCTCGTTCTGGGTTTTCAAAATACTGGACCCACTCGCGCATCGTCATCTCCTTTCCCTTCTGTGTTGTTACATCCATCACATCGAGCACACGCCTACTGCCTGGAACACCAAACACATATGTAAATATACACACATAGTTTATGTCATTTCAGGACACACAACTTATTATTTACTCGATCACCAACCATATTTAGAGAGAAACATAAATCCTACTAGAAAAAACAACCAATCACATTATTGATCATACACAGAACACACCTCTTACCCGATACAATGTACAATTACAACCGTTATCATTCTACACAATACCGGAGAACTGAAAGTAGCATCAATTAACATTTATTTGACCTATGGCCAACTAGCAATATGATACAAGTTTTTATCACACAGTGAGAGAAGTGTGATACAGCCTGCACCCTTAGGTACTAAAGAAAGGTATTTGTTTCATTAATGCATACAGGAAACTTTTGCCACAGTTGAACTTTCATTCTTTTGCCCTACATGGCAGGAGTAAATTTAACATAGCTGTGGAAATAATTAACTATAGACTATAGCAGTAACATGTGTGGGGTGAAATGAACACTGCACACACACAGATTCCACCAGGGAAAGGAAAACAAGAGGCCCAATGGGCTAGGTGAGTTAAAAATTGACAGGGGGAACAAATATTCATATGTTTGGTATTCATTTTGCAGTATATTGTACGTACCCACACACTGTTTGACATCATTGACCCGGAAGTTCTGACTAGGAACTCTGTAAATGAAGCAGATTTGATAAGTGACAACTATCATAACATTACTTATTTTATCTAATAATAAACTAATAAGCTCATAGAACTGTGCACTATAACACATTTACAGGAAATAAGTTTGAATGAAATGTTGTTTCATTGAAAATGTATATTATATTATCAACAAAAAAATCAAAACTGTGCTTTTGATGGTTCCATGTGGTTGGGTTTGGACCTTCGTAATGGTTCCCTATGGTTTGGACCTTTGTAATGGTTTTCAATGGTTTGGACCTATGTAAGGTTCCCTATAGTTTGGACCTTTGTAATGTTTCCCTATGGTTTGGACCTTTGTAATGCATGGTTTTCCTGTGGTTTGGTTTGGACCTTTGTAATGGTTCCCTATGGTTTGGACTTTTGTAATTCATGGTTTTCCTGTGGTTGGGTATGGACCTATGTAATGGTTTTCCTGTGGTTTAGTTTGGACCTTTGTAATAGTTTCCTATGGTTTGGACCTTTGTAATGGTTCCCTATGGTTTGTACCTTTGTAATGGTTCCCTATGGTTTGGAACTTGATGGTTTTGACTTTTGTAATGGTTCCCTATGGTTTGGACCTTTGTAATGGTTCCCTATTGTTTGGACTTTTGTAATTCATGGTTTTCCTGTGGTTGGGTATGGACCTTAGTAATGTTTTTTTCTATGGTTTGGTTTGGACCTTCGTACTGGTTTCCTATGGTTTGGACCTTTGTTAAGGTTCCCTATGGTTTGGACCTTTGTAATAGTTCCCTATGGTTTGGACTTTTGTATTTCATGGTTTTCCTGTGGTTGGGTATGGACCTTTATAATGGTTTTCCTGTGGTTTGGTTTGGACCTTTATAATTGTGTCCTATGGTTTGGACCTTTGTAATGGTTCCCTATTGTTTGGACTTTTGTAATTCATGGTTTTCCTGTGGTTGGGTATCGACCTTTATAATGGTTTTCCTATGGTTTGGTTTGGACCTTCGTACTGGTTTCCTATGGTCTGGACCTTTGTAATAGTTCCCTATGGTTTGGACCTTTGTAATGGTTTCCTATGGTTTGGACCTTTGTTAAGGTTCTCTATGGTTTGGACCTTTGTAATGTTTCCCTATGGTTTGGACCTTTGTAATGCATGGTTTTCCTGTGGTTTGGTTTGGACCTTTGTTATGGTTCCCTATGGTTTGGCCTTTGTAATGGTTCCCTATGGTTTGGACCTTTGTAATAGTTCCCTATGGTTTGGACTTTTGTAATTCATGGTTTTCCTGTGGTTGGGTATCGACCTTTGTAATGGTTTCCTATGGTTCGGACCTTTGTAATGGTTTCCTATGGTTTGGACTTTTGTAATTCATGGTTTTGCTGTGGTTGGGTATGGACCTTAGTAATGGTTTTCCTATGGTTTGGTTTGGACCTTCATAATGGTTTTCTATGGTTTGGACCTTTGTAATGCATGGTTTTCCTGTGGTTTGGTTTGGACCTTTGTAATGGTTTCCTATGGTTTGGACCTTTGTTAAGGTTCCCTATGGTTTGGACCTTTGTAATTGTTTCCTATGGTTAGGACCTTTGTAATGCATGGTTTTCCTGTGGTTTGGTTCGGACCTTTGTAATGGTTCCCTATGGTTTGTACCTTTGTAATGGTTCCCTATGGTTTGGTTTGGACCTTCATAATGGTTTTCTATGGTTTGGACCTTTGTTAAGGTTCTCTATGGTTTGGTTTGGACCTTTGCAATGGTTCCCTATGGTTTGGACCTTTGTTAAGGTTCTCTATGGTTTGGACCTTTGTAATGGTTCCCTATGGTTTGTACCTTTGTAATGGTTCCCTATGGTTTGGAACTTGATGGTTTTGACTTTTGTAATGGTTCCCTATGGTTTGGACCTTTGTAATGGTTCCCTATTGTTTGGACTTTTGTAATTCATGGTTTTCCTGTGGTTGGGTATGGACCTTAGTAATGGTTTTCCTATGGTTTGGTTTGGACCTTCATAATGGTTTTCTATGGTTTGGACCTTTGTTAAGGTTCTCTATGGTTTGGACCTTTGTAATGGTTCCCTATGGTTTGGACCTTTGTTAAGGTTCTCTATGGTTTAGACCTTTGTAATAGTGGACCTTTGTAATGCATTGTTTTCCTGTGGTTTGGTTTGGACCTTTGTAATGGTTCCCTATGGTTTGGACCTTTGTAATGGTTCCCTATGGTTTGGACCTTTGTAATGGTTTCCTATGGTTTGGAACTTTGTAATGGTTTTCCTATGGTTTGGTTTTGACCTTTGTAATGGTTCCCTATGGTTTGGACCTTTGTAATGGTTTCCTATGGTTTGGACCTTTGTAATGGTTCCCTATGGTTTGGACTTTTGTAATTCATGGTTTTGCTGTGGTTGAGTATGGACCTTTGTAATGATTTTCCTTTGGTTTGGTTTGGACCTTTGTAATTGTTTCCTATGGTTTGGACCTTTGTAATGCATGGTTTTCCTGTGGTTTGGTTTGGACCTTTGTAATGGTTTCCTATGGTTTGGACCTTTGTAATGGTTCCCTATGGTTTGGAACTTGATGGTTTTGACTTTTGTAATTGTTCCCTATGGTTTTGACCTTTGTAATGGTTCCCTATGGTTTGGACCTTTGTAATGGTTTCCTATGGTATGGACCTTTGTAATGGTTTTCCTGTGGTTTGGTAGGGTTAAATGGTGGAGCAGGGTGGAGATTTACCTCATTCCCAGTCCTGTCTTATCATACATCACTATTGGTGTCTCCAGTCCATTAGCCTGCAGGTAACCCATGTTCAATTCTGGCGGGAAACAAACAGGACAAAGTTTATAGTTATGAGATGTAATAATGAGCCATAGAATTATGTAAGTTACATAGTGAATTCAAATGTCACTTTGTTAACGTTATGGTGACTATGTGTACATGTGCTGGGACATGTCCGTTGAGATCGGCATGTGAATATGTCAGTGTAGCAACAACAATGCAAACAAGTTAATTTCATACAAATGTTTACAAGCATATTAACATTAAATGATCAATTCTGCATCAAAAATACGTACCATGACCTTTCATGACCTTGACAAAGTTTTTGTTGTATTTCTTGGACTGGAGTTTATCCTCCAAGTTGAAGGCCCTCTTACCCTCGATGTCATCATCATCGAGGTCCTCGTCCGTGTACGTCTTCCTCTCCTTGGCTCTCTGTAACACAGATCAATACACAGTCCATCAACATACTAGTTACAAGTATAAACTCAACTCTCCTTGGCTCTCTGTAACACAGATCAATGCACAGTCCATCAAAATACTAGCTACAAGTATAAACTCAACTCTCCTTGGCTCTCTATAACACACAGATCAATGCACAGTCCATCAAAATACTAGCTACAAGTATAAACTCAACTCTCCTTGGCTCTCTGTAACACAGATCAATGCACAATCCATCAAAATACTATATTTACAACGTATAAAGTTAACTCTCCTTGGCTCGTCTCTGTAACATATCAATTAGTCCATTAAAATACTATATTTACAACGTATAAAGTCAACTCTCCTTGGCTCAGTCTCTGTAACAGATCAATAGGTCTATCAAAATACTATATTTACAACGTATAAAGTCAACTCTCCTTGGCTCAGTCTCTGTAACATATCAATTTGTTCATTAAAATACTATATTTACAACGTATAAAGTCAACTCTCCTTGGCTAATCTACCTCTCCTGTTTTAATTGGCTCTTTGTAATGCCATAGTTACAAGCACCAGTCACAAAGCTTCTTCCCATTGCCCATCTGTCAAACAGTTGTAGACATGAGGCACGATAGTCTAGTGGTAGGACGCCGGGCTCGTGACCGAAGGGTTGCGGGTTCGAGTCACGCCACGGTACTGTATTGTATCAGTACGTGGTTGGGCAGTGCTAGAATTGTTGAATGTGCTCCCCAGGGAATTGAGAAACATATAGGCTGGTTGCAAAGGCCTTGTAACCACGGATAATAATTTGTGAACCGCTTTGAGACGGCCTACGAGTTCGAACTAGGTTGTGATAAAGCGGTATATAAGAACCTCGAATTATTATTATTTATTAATCTAAAAACTAGATACATTTTACAAGTTACAGCTGCAGTCACTACACGTGGTTAGTTACAAAGGCGCCGACAATAGTTACACGGCTACTGTAGAGATACAAAGTGAACTTTAACCGTCAACAAGGCTAGGCTAGCAGCAGTTAACTTTGACTTATCAGAAGATCCTTCATACACTTAGATGAGATACAAAAAAGTTAACAGCTTTTCAAAGTCTTCGAACAGGTCACATTTGAAATAGTTACACAGCCAGTGCGTGAAATGCATACAAAACAAAGGACACACGTGTATGATAAATCGAAAAAGTGTTGCGCAAAGTTACGAAATTAATACCAGGAATACAGGGACTGCTAAACAGTGATCACTTAAATAGATCAATGTTTCCAACGAATACAAAATTTTGAACAATATCCAAGATGAAAAATCAACTTCTGGATTTTAATTTTACTTTGAAACGACAGGGCATATCCAGAAACTGACGAAAATACATTGTAAATTGAACTATTGATATAAAAATACTCGTTTTAACTCACTATGAAGGACTTCCAGAATAGGTAATTATATAATATATTCATTTATTTTTTATTTCAATTTCCTAAAATATTGGCAAAATATAAAATGTTGAGGTAATATTTTGTCAAATATGTGTATGATGGGCGACTTTTATGGTAAGATGGGAACATCCGTCACAGTTTCACCGCTACCTTGGAAAAGGCTATGAAACTATATAAATTCATTTCTTTATACACAGGAATTGAACACTTCTTTTGATGCAACCCGTCCTGAGGGTATGTTTACATTGATTGGTATATATGGTTCCCCAAAAACTGCGTCGAAGACCTTTTTCATAATCGCAATATTGAAAAGGATACTCGAGATTGAATCTGAAAATGTATTTAAGGTGTGAATAAACTAAGCAATACCAATATAAGTTAAAGCTTGTTTTGAACACGAACAGGAATTGAAAACTTCTGTTGTGAGCTTTCGAAAACGTCTGTTTGACCGGTGTCTCGGCTCTAAACTGCCGAAAACCACAAGCGATATCACTTTGGTGGAAACATGGTAACGGTCATGGAACTCAAAGTACAGGTATAACAAGTGTAATTGCAATTTAACATTTTGTTTCCAGAAAGGTTATTTTCAAAACAATTTCGAGATCATGTTATATAAATCACACGTAAAGTAACATCAAGATGATGACGTCACTAAATCAATAACAAGTTTAGCTAGTCTGTCACTGTTTTTAAAAGCGAGTTAAAAATGCATTAAAGCTGGAGTTGAAATCAACTAAAAAAACAACTCCAAAACCTTCAAAGTCATATTAGCCTGTCAAGATTGATGTGGGGTGCATACTTCTGATATTTGAAGCAAAAATGGTCAAGAACATGGTAATATTCGGAAAATAAAATAAAAGCTTTAACATATTTTTGTAATTGTCAATTGTCATTAAATCCAAACAAAACATACCAAGTGGATGTTTATGTCATACAGTAAGTGTATGGGAAAAGCGTTTCAATAGATCATCTATTCGGACGCAATATAGATATAGGGGTACCTGTGACCAGTAAGCTACCTGTAAGAATTAACATCAAAAACACAATCGTTCCTAATAGTACGTTTGGTCAAGCAATGGCGATACAAGTAGATGGATGAACGTACAAAACGAAATGCTTATATAGCTATAACCGAAGTCTGGTAGGAATAAGATCGGCTGGACAGGACATTGCAACAGTTATGTATTTGTCAATCATATTCTCCACAAATCTGTGTGCTAATGACGATTACCGTATGTTATGCCTCATGTGGTCCCTAACTTGGGAGAAATCTTGTACGGGCCAGGTTTGACAAGGTAAATGTGGGTCAATGTTGTAACCAAGTATCGTAGGTGTACGCATGACTTCACGTCTTTCGCTGTTTATTCTGTTTTAAGATTTTTTTCTCAGTTAAATCTGTATGAACTGGTTCCCGCATGTCTCAACGTTTGCATGACGTATAATGACTAGAAAATGTGTAAACACCACAGGGTCCTGAGAATCAACGAAGGAGTTTGTGTTGGTATCTATCCTGAAAGCCCCTGAAACGTCTCCCTATATCATAATCATCAGATAGGTCAAAATGAACCACCATCATCTGTCAATACGATACAGTTGACAGATGAGACTGACATATAATGATTACTCTGGTACTCTACATGTGGTACACAACATCGCCGTAAAGATATGGAGACGTCCTATTTACTGGCTGTACCCATCGGGTACCGTATATCACCACATCATTTTTTTGATAATCGAGTTCTACAACAATCATAATATCTTGCATCACTACAGAATGCACTCATCCTTTCCCCTTATTACATGGTGTGGCAGTGCTATGTCGTCACAATGTATACAGCTTACTACTACTGACAAAATGAGATCTTCTACACATTGTCACGATACATATTTGTATATGAATATCGATAATATATTTTGTACATGGTTTGCGACACATTTTTGCAGACTACTGATACATTTTTGTAATTGACTTATGCAGCGTTTTAGTACATTACTTAGGCAAATTATGATATATTGTCATTAATTATGAAATATTAATTATGAAATAATTTGTATATTTCCTATGATACATTGCATTGCCATACGATACTTTTTTGTGCATTACTATGGAACATTTTTGTACATTACGAAGCATTGTCAAGACTTACAAAACATTTTGTACATTTTCAATAAGATTTATCTGTAGAGAAATATGTAACATTCTTTACTTTATACACAAACAATGCAGTATTCCACTTGCCCAAAGTTTCAAGACCGACTGGTCCCTTTGTCAAGCTGGAAGTAAAACTTTGATATTTGTGTACATTACTTATAATACAATGTACATGGCTCATGAAACATTTCGTATTTTCCTTATGATACATGTATATTTTGTACATTGTCAAAACTTATGAAACCTTTTTCTACACTGCAAATATATAATGTACATTACGAAACATTACCATGACTTATGATACATTTGTATACAAATTGTCATGATTGTAGATGCCAAGTTCATGACCTTTATGATGTCATGTCTAGGACTAACGACGCCAAGTTGAAGATGACTTCTATTTGTTGACAGCTTAGTGTATACAGTACCTTTTACTGTGATGCGCGGTTCAGTGATGTACATTACGTAGTTGTCACGACCAAGTTAAACATTACACTGTTTATATGATTCAAGTTATCCTATAATTCGTAAAAGATGAACGTGACACGCGCACTTGCACGTTTGATATTCAGTAATAGATACAGTGTGTCAACAATCAATTACACTGTATCATACAGCTGTTTCGTCCTTCTATAGGACCAGTCGGTGATGCTCGCGGCCAAAACGTTGGAAATTCAAAAAGGACATTGTTCATAATATACAATTATAGCATGGTGATGAGGTCGATACATAGTTTTATCAACCTTGGTTAGCAATATTGACCGAAATCACCATGCTACAATATTTTTATTATTTTAATTGATTTAAAAAAACTTTATACCTGGAAAAAAAACCTAGTTTTACATCCCCCCCCCCTTTTTTAGTCACAAATTTTAAAATCAACTAAACAAAAATATCAGAAAAATAACATTTTTTAATTAAATATCTGCAATAATCGTTTAAATATCTTCAATAATCATTGATTAACATAAAATTCCAGAATCTATTTATAGCAGGTCAATAACACTTTTTCTACCAAATTTTTTGAACACCTGTTCCAGAATCTATTTATAGCAGGTCAATAACACTTGTTCTACCAACTTTTTTGAACACCTGCAAACCACTCAGGTTTATAACTACTTTTACAGGTGGTCACATGATGTTGTTTCAGCTAATCAGAGTCAGCTCAAAATCAATTAAAATAATTATACAATTATAGCATGGTGATGAGGTCGATACATGGTTTTATCAACCTAGGTTAGCAATATTGACCAAGGACCATACAGTCTAGGATCGTATACAGTGTATATGATTTATGTATATGATGTTATCAGCTCGACTTATGACAATGATACAAGTACATGTACATTGGTTGACTTACAATGTTCCGTCCATTATAACTCATATACGTGACTTGTAATGTCTTGTGAACGTTAT